ACAGTTTTTCTGTGTGTGTGTGTGTAGTCCTTTTAAGAGCTTTGTCTTATTTAAAACCATCTTGCCTCGTCTCCTTCCTGCCGCTGTGATGCCTGGGTCTGCCAAGCGCCATAATATTGTTTACATAAAAATGACATACATGTGAAGAACCAAACTGGAACATTGTAAGGTTTTGTACAAGGACCTACTTGGGGTTTTTTAGTTTGACATGCTGACAGTGGATTTGTTCTTCCACCCACCCAGAAAACACGATTCCATTTCACCCTTGGATGACCTGGCCTTCCACATATACCAGGACCCTGCAGTGGCCCAGATCATCTGCCGGCTGGATGAGAGGAAACAGGAGTGTGTGCAGCGCGAGCAGTACGGTCTGGCCAAGACGCTAAAGCAAGCCGTGGCTGACCTGCAGAAGGTACCCGGACCCGGAAGCCGGGTCACAGCTGACGTTTTCCACTGTTTATTATATGGACCGCAGTGAGATATCAGGGATTTACAGTAATATGGTACAATAAAATTATTCTTCCTTCATATGGTTTATAAGTGAATAATTAACTCTTCCCGGATGGAAAAGTCTTACAGTTATTAAATTACTTTGTCAGTATGTGACATGAGGCTAAATTAACTGAGGCGATCTCTCTTCCTGGAGGAATGATTAACTATATGTTCATTATGACTGCCACAGTCAGCACAGAAGCAAGGTAATGCTAAAGTGATAACCAGTAGTCTGCTGGTTCACGTTCCAGGCAAGTCCCTACTGTACCTTTCATATAGGGACTAAAAATATGGCAAACAAATGTATGAGTTTATACAAAAAAAAAAACAGATACTCATGAAGGCTTGTGCGTTTTGTTTCTTGAAATAAATACAGCAGCCTGCTTTTATGAAGTCTTTTAAATGGCCAGACAGCTCACAAGATGGGAGTGTTTGGCTCTTGCCACAAGGGACAAAGAAAATGGGCAAATAAGAGAACAGACAAACATGCACTGAAATACAGATGCATGTGAATAAAAAATTGCATTTGTAACTTAGTTGTGATCAGCCAGTGTAGAAGTTTTGGAATCCATAGAATGGGCTATGGTGGAAGTGAAAATACAGTTGTACCTCAGAACTCGAACTTAATCCGTTCAGAACTCGGGTTCGAATTCTAAAAAGTTCTAGTTCTGATAGAATTTTCCCCATAAGAAATAATGGAAAACCAATTAATTGGTTCCTGGCCCCAAAAAATTACACCTAAATATGTTTTTTTTGTTATTTTGTTTTTTTGTTTTTTTTAGCATTTAAACACAAAATGAACCGGATAAAACAAGAAGAGCATATACTTTACTAAACACATCTAAGCACATTTATCAAAACAGTAATTTGTAAAGTAAGAAAATAAATGTATCCAAACAATGTGTAAAGTTGAAAAAACCCCAATGTGTCCTGCCCTGATCATCTGCTCCTTCCGTGTGCCACGCCCCCTCGTTAACCTCATGTGGAATCCCTGTGTGATCAGCTGTTTCTGGTTGTTGTCATTAGTCCTCTGTATTTAGTCCGCATTTCAGTTTGTTTCCCTAGTCCGGTCATTGTATTGTCCGTCTGCGTTTTGCCTGCCTTACCTGTAATTAAACCCCGTATTCCCTGATACCCTGACGTCTGCGCCTTTGTCTCAGTTCCGTCCCAGCTCGGCACGACAATATTATTATAATTAACTGTATTAATGGTTTATTATTAATGATATTAAAATAATGAATAAGAAATCTCTATTTTTAAATGTATTTAAATGTATATAATAATTACTGTTACTGTCTGTCATTGTCTAAATGTATTTTTACTGTCTAAATATATGTATTCAGCTAGTGTAAACATGCACACAGCGAATGTGAGACTGAGACTGAAGCGTTACCCTTTGTTTCCGCTGAGAGACGTGCCGCGTGACTCATTTCCCCGCGCGTTCAAGTTATCTTAGGTCGGCGTTCACGGTTCGACTTCTGAGATTCAGTTTTTTTTCCGAACTGGTTGGTTCGACTTTTAAGAGAGTCCAGTTCTAATGAGTTCGAGTACTGAGGTAGCACTGTACCTATAATTTTAAGATTCCTGGCATCATAAGTTAAAGAGCATGTGTTTAAGTTTAATGAATATTTGCTCCCTGTGTGCTGATAGTAATCATTGAGCAGGAAATTGCTCTTGGTTGAATATTTAAGTCATAAGGCGTGGCAATTTGATTAAGGCAATGATTAAGATATTTCAGGAAAACTTCATCTGGTCATCTGTATAATCTGTAACTCCCCCAAGACTGCATGCAGGAGAAAATGTCTGTCTTTGAAGGGGGTCAATTATACTTTACCAGCTTTCCCTTTCCATTTCTGTGTTATATAGCTTTATGTGCATGTAAATAGTCTGCAAAATCTTAAGGCCCAGAGTACCTACCAAAGTGGGCAACTCTCACCACAGAAACCACCCTTCTGTAATCTGCCTGAAATGCCTCATTGGAATTCCAGCCCTTACTTCCGTGACATGGTTAGGTCGCCTCGTAACACAATCCTTATTGGACACCCTCCTGCAAGGATCAGGGGAGGAATGTGTAGCGCAAGCTGACCAATCGGAGCACACTGGACTCATTGGAGGTGGGGCTTAAAGCTCTAAAATAGCATTTCAGACAGTTATAGACAGAGTAAATAGAGATGTACAATGTGAGAAAAATAATGTGTTTTTGGAGCATTCACGTACGTAAATCTATTCTAGTACACCCCAAAAATGAAATTATGAACAGTGAAAATGAGCATAATAGGCCCCCTTTGAATAGTATTTTACTCCGATCGCATCTTGATGCTGCTGCTAGCGTACTGAGCTCTCTGATTGGTTGCCAGCCAGGTCGGAGAGCGACTGGCCCGCCTTGATGTGGAGAAACATTGCGCCATCGAGAAGGAAGACTATGACACAGCGGAGCAGAAGAAAGAACAGATGGAAGAGTACCGGCTGAAAGTCTACCACCAGCTGCAGCTGCTCAATCTGCTCGACATATCCCAGGTCCGTGCCTTTCTGAACAAGGCTGGAAGCCAGAGCCAGCTCGAGGAATATGAGCTGCTTTCCGTTGCGTGATGGAAACAAGTTTCCACCAGACTGTGCAATCTTTATTTCACACCTTTCATCTGGTACTCACCCATGATTTGGTTTGAGATCACACTGTGTGTGTGCATGCGTGTGTTTGTGTGTGTGTGCGTGTTGAGGTCAGCCTGTACCGGTCACATTGCTCAATCAGCAGGCCGCCCTGCGACTTCTAACAGTCAGGGGTACCAGCTGCCTATTGTATACAACTTTCCGCTTTCAGCTGTGTCCAGTCTTCCAGTTCACCTCATGCAGCATTTGAAATGGCACAGTGCATGCTTTTTAAAAAGCTGAACATCTATGATTTTATGTTGTGCATCATCTTACCAAAGTCTTGTGATATGTACCATGGAAAATAGCCCTGCTTGGTGAAAAGGTGAGCATATTGCATGGTGAAAAGGTGAGCATATTGCATGGTGAAAAGGACTCCGCAGACAGCAATGCCTCAAGCCGCCTGGTGGAAGTGTGTAGATCTGTGTTTTGTGTCCGCGTTTCCCAGATTGCTGACTTTCATGACAAGAAGATGGAGGCATCCTGCATCCCATCGCAGGAGATGCAGTCAGAGCTTCCGCATGACATCCAGACGGAAGTGACGCAAGAAAAACCCCTGGGCTCTGAGTGGGACGCCGCAAGCCCCTTGGCCTCACAATCCAGCCATAGCCCCCAACCGGTGTCCCCAGCTCCTCCAGAGGCTCTCCAGACTGGTGTAAGTCAATATGCCACACAAAACCACAACACAGCAACCAGTATGCTATGATATAACAATATGAGAGTTTAACTAATTTTAACCCTTTTGAGCCACCATCCAAATATTTCTTCTTCTTTTTTGAACATGAGGCAGATTATTGGTTGAAGAGACAAACTTGTCAAAACAAGTCCAACAAGGCGCCTTCCGGTTAGACCATAAAGTACAATGCCAGTAAAGTATACAGTGTAAATGTATAGCGTTGTAAGTTCCTTATTATTCATCATTTTTACAAAGCACCCTTTACATGGTATGGTGCTCTTTCCTGCAGTGCTTTAGTTGCGTTAAGATTATTTCACCTGTTGGCAGTCGGGACATGTTCAAAAGAAGAGTTATTGGTCGTATTCCATTGCAATAAAGCAAGGTCACATGGCAGTGTAAAGCGAGGTCACATGGCAGTGTAGCAATTTGTCATAGCATTATTGTTTCCTGGGGTCCTGTTACACTGTGGTCCACATCATTTCCACGTGTTCGGAGCAGGACTGAATGCGAGCCTGACCTCTAGGCTGCGCAGGCATAAAGGCGCCATAGAAGTGCTGCGGGTTGAGTTTCAGCTTTTAATTAAAACAGTTAAACAGTTGGTTGATTTTACTGTTTGCGGGCCCAATATGATGAACAGTCCCCCAGTGGACGTAACCATGCCAACTGGAAGACGGGCTGCTCTTACAGCAAGAATCAATCCTTTATGATTCATCATAAACTCTGAAAGCCTCTGTGCACCCAGGTATCATGCTATGTTTTGGTCAAGACACAGAATCAATTAATACATCACATGTCATGTCATATCATATAGAAGACTTGCGTTGTTCTGGTTCTTGTATTTTTGAATAACAGAGACCACAGGCTGTAATGACAGCTACAAAGAGCAGAGTTTTCACATTGTGGTTGATCTTCAAATCAGCATTACTCAGCATGTACTCAGCATTCTGTTTTGCTTCTGTCGAATATTTGATCATTTGGCCTTGCATGTATGTGTCTGTATTTACCAGGCTTGTATGTTTTTTTTGTTTCGAGAAGTTTTTCAGCAGAGATCGAATCAAACAAAAAAAAAAACATTAATGCAAGCAGCAGTCAACTTACCTAAATCTGGACTTACACAAAAATATACAAGATGATTAGAGTTTGCGGAAGCACTTGCACAAAAAGGCGACAAACGCCTGTAAGTAAATTTACAGTAAAAATACATCATATAAACTTTATCTTTTCATTCATTTAATGAGTTCTTTATTACGGTTTTTCATATTGACACATGAATCCTCATAAATGTAGAACATACTGGATTGTAATGAATTTAGGAGCTATAAGACCTCCCACATAGACTATAAGTCACGATAAGAATGACTCAAAATTACATTTTATTAAAATAAAATTAAGCTACAGTATATTAAGTGTCATTACAAAATCAGTCAGTATTTTTTAATTAGGCTAGTTACAAAAACAAGGCTAATTTAGCTCAAGGGAGTTTTACTTGCACAAACATGTTCTGAGGGCAGAAGGAAAAATGATTGGATTAGAGGGATAACCAATCAGATTGTAGAAGGTCCAAACAACTAGAGGAGGCAGGACCAAGACATCTTGATAGTTGGACCAACATCCTCTAAAATCTGATTGGTTATCTCTCTGAACCAATCATTTTTCCTTCTGCCCTCAGAACATTTTTCTGTAAGTAAAACTCCCATGAGCGTTAAGCTCAATGCTGTAACACTATAACAACTATAACAAGTTTAAATGGGTTAATTTTCTATTTAGGTGTTTAGTTGTTGTTTTTTAATTACCATGTGTAACATGAAAACTAGGCCTCTGAATTGATTTAATATTTGAAATAATGAGTTTAATAATGATTAAACACAGTTTTCTGTGTTTAATCACTGTTTATCAAACCTAACATTAAATCATATAATCATATTATTCGTTGAATCCCCTAATTAATGTACAATTAACACAAAGGAAGTATATTTTAATTTTGTTTATAACTTATGATGTACAGATTTTTCATTTCCATCGGGGTTTGTAGAACGGATTGCTTACGTCAGTCGAGAGCTTCCTGTAATAATTATACTAAATGGATAAGCAAGTAACTGAAGGCTTTCTGTGTAGACCAGCAGGCTGCCTTATGACGAGGTACCCCTGCCAACATTGCAAAACCCTCCGGAGGGAGATCAGCCAGAGCTGCCAGAGCAGAACCAGAGCGAAGACCTTCCCGGCAGCCCGGGTATCCGAGGAGAGCCTGACCCCCTCACAGAGAAAGCACAGCGGGAAGCCGGCCTCCCCGTCGAGGTGTACGGGGAACGCCTGGTGAGGGGGGGAGGGGGTTATATGCGTCTTTCCAAAGTGCGTTTTCACGTGCAGATTCCCACAGAACATAGCGAATCTTATACTGGAAATCCCTGCTTTGGGGAGGGGCTAAGATACTGACCCCCGCAAGGAAAATGAAAATAATGTTACTGTAAAAGATGGGAAAAGCAAAACTAATATACCATACAGATGCAGGCTATACCATAACTGCCATGTTGCAACAGTAGTAACAAGACTGAGTAACAACAGTAGCACTGTTAACTAATGTGGTTTCTTAGTTTGTTGTTAGTACCAATGTTACTGTGGATTACTGCTATACTGGCAAGTATACAATACTCTGTCTTAGTGTCCCACTACTCTGGTTGGGTAGTGTACGTCATTCTGGAAAATTTAGCTGTAATTATGAAGAAGCACTAAATCACTGCCCAGAAATCATCCACAGAAACTGAGTATTGCTAGCTTCCTGACCCTGCAGAAGCTTGTGCTTTGTGCGTGTGGATCTTGCAGCATGATTTATTTTTATTTTTTTTGTTTTCCTGTCTTTTCCTTCATACTCAGCAGCATGAGCGGTAAAGAGGCACCATTTCAGAGTATGATCCACTTAATAGGGGGGTCCTCTGTCCAAATGGACTGCAGCCTGTGCAAGTTTTTTTCAGCTTTCTTCATGCAGCCAAAAACCACGGAGAAGCCCAAATTAGTTCTCTTAGTGGTATAATTGGGTCAGTCTAGTGTTTAAAGGGTCGGGTAAAATGAAAAACCCGCATATTTGTAGGTCACCCTGTACCAGGAATATTGGAGTTCTTCCCTCTCTGATGTTCCCGTTGCAGGTTGCAGGCACCTATTCAAAGACCTGGTCACACCGGGAGAGTGCCATGCTGGCCATTTATAAGAAGCTGTCAGAGATGCCGGCAGGGACCCCCAAGGAAGAGGTCAGGACCACGCTCAGGGTCACTGTGTTCCTGCTCAGGAGGGCTCTTAAGGACCAGGTTTTTTCTGTAAGTCCGTTTCTCCCAATTTGCTTCTGGTTTGGTTCCACATCATGTTCCACCCCTATAAAAAAACTAATTCATGGTTTCCTTGTGTTGAGGTGAAAAACAAGAATGTTCTTTGTGTGACATTAGAGAAATTTGCATGCATTAGGAAACTGTCTGTGGATTTTAAATTTAATACATTTAAAAAGAAAAAAACATTCCAGGCAAATCAATGGTCATTATTATCAGTACTGTTGTTTAATTTTTTGTTTTGATTTATGAGGATAGTTTCAGTCGTAAAATGTCTGAGTTTTCATTATAGGGGCTGTGATACTTAGCTTAGATCGTAAGTGAAAATCACATGAATCTTTTGTGTTCTTTGAACAATTAATTACAGATGCTCCTCTACTCACGTATGAGAAAGTTCCGAATGGCCGTTTGTAACTTGAAATTTTCGTAAGTCATTTTAAGGGTATACGCAAGTACTAAGAACTAGGATGCTGGGAGTACGCACGCTACGCTGCTGCGCGGCGGGAGCAGCGGCCAGAAGTCGTACTGGGCGGAACTGGGCGCGCAGAAAAAAAAATGGACAGGAAACAGGAGCCCAATGAACACAATTTGGACTTACAGTCCTCTTCGTTCGTATGTCTGAAAGTTGAATGTTCGTAAGTAGAGGAGCCTCTGTATCAGAAGCATTTTGAATGTGGGGGGGGCACACTGGCAGGGGGGTCTGGGGACCCTCCCCCAGAATTTTTTTAGTGAATTAGATGGCGTATGTGTATTCTTATATCGATCAAGTGGAATGGATTCTTTTGCAAAGCATTAGAAACAGCGCTGGGTGAGCTAATATTTTATGTTAAACGTGGGGGGGTCCAAATGAATAATTATGAAATGTGAGGGGATATATATATATATATATATATATATATATATATACACACACACACACACACTTTAAAATCATCATTATTATTTGTTTTATTTATTTATTTTTCCATCTAGACTTTTTCAGTGTGGAAATAATAAAAGAAAAAACTTAAAAAAGTCTTTTCCAGGGTTACTAGTCAACTTTGGGTGGTAAAACTTTTCCAAACCCATAAAAATGACATCATGTTTCAGTCTGGGAAGAAAAAAAGAGGGAGGCCAATCCAAGGACATTACTTCATGTGAGCAGACTCAGGGAAATAATTATGACAACTCTGAGTAAAAAGCATTGGATGTGACATCATTGTGCTAAATGGCTTTACATCAAGCTATCCCACAGGAAAAAATATTCCACCAGAAGAAAGCATTAGATGCTACTTGCAGACTGGACTGTCTTCTTGGCTCAATCTTCGTTGAAAAATGTATCCTTGATTTCAGTTTATCTCAATGTCTTGCTACAATAAAGACACATTACAATTTTTGACGTCAAAAATAATGTGATGTTCAAGAGATAAAAGGACGTTCCCACTTCTCCTCACAGGTGTCACATTGAGCGTCTTCTCTGCAGAGTTTGTGTAAGGCATTGTGCCGTTGCCAGGTGACTGATTAATAGGACTGATTGAATTCCTCCGCTCAGTGTCCAAATAGTGACTTTCATCGAACTTTTCATCCTTCAGCGGTGAGGCTCGCAGGTCCTTTTCATGAAACAGCGGACCTCCAGTCCTGGTTACTCTCCCATAGCCTGCTATGCTCAGTAACGATTTTTGAGCTAAAATAATAAGTGTAGTGTATGGGCAGGCGTTCCGCACCTCATAACAGAGCCTTTGTTCGTTCTTTTTGGCGGCTCCTTATGGATGACAGCGATGATGATGGAAGAGAGGAAACTGGCCTCAGTTAGAGATAATTGGCAGTTAACTGGTCAGATTTGCAAGGTGTTTGAGCTGACCGTAAAGCCATGCTGGGATTGTGGGGCTTCCCCTTTCTTAACGTTAATAACATACATCTGAACTTCATTCTCCTTTGCAAGTAGACCACAGAATATACTTCCTGTGTTATTTGGGATAATAGATGTGAATGTTTTTTTTTTTAAAACCACTTTACAATAAGGCTCCCTTTGCCACTTGTAAATGGTAGTAACTCATTAATGAAAATAAAACTATTTTGTTAGTTGTTTAAAATGGTCTATTAATAGTTTATTAAGTTGATTATTAATTGACATTAATTAATTAATTGAAAATATAACAATATCAGTTGTTGACAGTTATATGACAGTTATATGACAGTTATATGACAGTTATATGACAGTTATATGCTCGATTTGAATTTGATGCCAGCAACACGTTTCAGAAAGTTGGGAAACGGGCATGTTTACCTGGGTGTTGCATCTGCTCTTCTTTTACCAACACTCTGTAAAGGTCTGGGAACTGAGGAGACCGGCTGCTGGAGTTTTTAAAGTGAAATGTCATCCCATTCTTGCCTGATATAGGATTTCAACTGTTCAACAGTTTGGGGTCTCCTTTGTTGTATTTTTCGTTTCATAGTGCGCCAAATGTTTTCAGTGGGTGACAGGTCAGGACAGCAGACAGGCCAGTCTATCACCCGGACTCTTCTACTGCGGAGCCATGCTGTTGTAATACGTGCAGAATGCGGTTTGGCATTGTCTTGCTGGAATATACAAGGCCTTCTATGACAGACGTTGTCTGGATGGCAGCATATGTTGCTCCAAAACCTGTATATATCGTTCAGCATTAATGGTGCCTTCCCAGCTCTGCAAGCTACCTCAGCCCTGCGCAAAAACGCACCTCCATAATGCACCATTACGGAAACAGGCCTTTGACCAGTATGCTGATAAGGTGAATGGTCCATGTCATGTTCCAGAACATAGGGGAGAGGGAGACGTGTCTGATGTTGCAATGGTTGTGTGTTGCCAGTTGTGTTTCAGGTTGCGAGACTTGGATCGACCAGCCTGGTGGGATTAGTTTTGACAAGGTGGGCGGGGCTTCCTATATATCGCCGACTCAGCCATACGCTCGGAGGTGACCGGCTCTCCCATGCTGTCGTCCTTGCATCCTTTGCTGTCTTTTATACCTGCGTTTCCTAACCCTGTAGAATCCCACTGCCATGAATCACCTATCACGTTGTGCTCTGTTTTGTGATTGTGAATGCCTTATTGCTCACGTGAGGTTTTGGAGGAAAGTTTAAACAATGGCTCACCTACCCCCCCCCCCCCCCCCGTAGGAAGCCGCTGTTAGGCACTCCAGGTAGGAGGCGAGTGCCGTCACATGTGTGTTTTGGAGGGTAAGCTGCAGCCCTTTGGGGGAAGGGTACTTATACGGAAGTAGCACTGATTTTGTTTTGTTCATTCCTTTGGCAGCCTCCCTTCCTTAGAGGTCGGTATCACGGTCCTCGCTGGGATAATAGGTCTGTCTCGTTCTGTAATAAAATTCTCTGCACATGATCTCTTCGAGTCATTGTGTGTCTGTTGTCCGGGTCACGGCACAACTTACCTCACTCGTACCACCTGTTCACCTCCGACCTAAACCAGAGGGTTGTGACATGAGGGGGCTCATCCCGGAGAACACAGCATCCATGGCTCCCAAAAAGAATTTCAAATTTTGATAAGTCAGACCATAGGACAGTTTTCCATTTTGCCTCAGTCCATGTTAAATGAGCTCTAGCCCAGAGAAGTCGGCGCCGTTTCTGGATTATGTTTAGATATGGTTTCTTCTTTGCATGGTAGAGTTTCATCCTGCATTTGTGGATGGCGCAACAAACTATGTTCACAGCCAGTGATTTTGGAAGTGTTCCTGAGCCCATGCAGTGATGTCCACTATAGAATTGTTTGTTTTTAATGCAGTGCTGCCTGAGGACCCAAAGATCATGGCTCTCCAATATTAGTTTTTGGCCTTGTCCCTTGCATACAGAGATTTCTCCAGAAGCTTTGAATCTTTTAATGATTTTATGTACCATACTATGTCCCAAATTCTTTGCAATATTACGTTGTGGAACATTATTCTTAAATTGTTGCAGTATTTGCGCACGCAGTCTTTCACAGTGGTGAACCTCTCCCCATCTTCACTGCACAGTGCAGTGAACCTCTCCCCATCTTCATCTTCACTGCACAGAGACTCTTTTTATACCCAGTCATCTTACTAACCTGTTGCCAATTAACCTGATTAGTTGTGAGATATTTAATCAGGTTTTTGTTTTAGCATCACACAGCTTAATCAGTGTTTTGTTGCCTGTCCCAACTTTTTTCGAAACGTGTTGCAGGCATCAAATTCAAATTGAGCATATATTTGTCTTGAAACACTAACATTTCTCGATTTTTGAATGTGATCTGTTGTCTTTGTTGGGGCTTTGAGATATAACGATACACATCAGATGACGAAATAAAAAAGTTGTTTTTTATTTCGTGGTGTCGCAAAATACATTGTTTAAGGCCTCATTTTTTCATCATTTAGGTGACGGTTTGCAAGGTTACACGCCACCACAGGGGATCTGGTACTTTTTTTTTTATTGGACTTAATTATTTAATATTTTATTTATATTTTACACAGAGTACCAACTTTTTTGGAAATGGGATTATAACTCAGAAGCTGTATTTCAAGTTGTTTTAGTTAAGTATATTAATTTCAGCATGTCCTGTCATGTGAAGCATAGTAGGATAGAATTACTTATCTAATTTCCTTTAGGGTGCTCTTGGGTCCAATTTTTATGTATGGATGTTTAAGCAAATAAAAATGCACTACCTTATGCTGTAAATTTCCACTTTTAATGAATTGTGAAGAGTTGTGTTTTCAAACACACAGCCTTATTTTAATGACATAAGTGTTTATGGGATATAAAAGTGAATTATACCGTACTGGTGAACTTGATTGTTGAGATATAGAGATCCAGTTACAAACGGCATATTGTTTAATGCTGTCATCTAGGGCAAGTGGTGTTGCTTACCATGTTTACACACTGGTCAGGGTGATGTGCCGTTCCTGCCCGCATCTGCTGAATGACCTCTGGCTTTACTTTTAACTGAGCTCGAGGTAGGAGGCGCAGAGCCAGAACCATCTTCACCTGGGGTTTTGGGAGGCGCACCTGGGATGAGCCCGAATGGGGTTACCCACCTCTGTCCTAGCTGAACTTTTCAGGTTGCCGGGTAACAAGATCTGGGCATCGTCTGAGAGATCAAAGAAAGGCCAGGGCAAATCTCACATTTAAGACAGTTTCAGATCGTTTCCAAGTATCTGGGCTTTCAGGATCCCTTTGTAAAAACTGAGACATCTGCAGAAATCCCCTGGTCAGGCTTGGATGCTTACACTTCTCTTTCATTTGGCGTCATTAAGTCTTATTAAATAGTTCAGAGCTGGAGGCTGATCATTTGCTCAGTCCTTGCAGGGCAGCTTGTGGCTCTGTAATTACAGTCTTCTCACTGACCTTGGCTTTACGTACCTGTGCTTTGTTCATACTGCTGTCAGTGGTGACATGATTGTGTTATATCTTCATGGGTTGGTCCAGTTAAATCCTGCTCTGCATGTCTGTGAATGGATATGGCTCCTACCTTTGCCGCTGGGTTATTTAGGGTGCCTGAGAAGCTTCAGCAAGGGCAGAAAAAATTCAAATCTTCAGTGTCCCTCTCTGGTTGACAGGTTTTCGAAGCATCGCTGAAGCTACTGCGGATGGTTCTGACCCAGTTCATTCCCAAACACAAACTGGGCAAAGTGGAAACTGCACACTGCATTGAACAAGTCTGGCCCAACCTCATCTCTAGAACCGGTGACTCTTCCACCAGGCTTCGACTCGTGGCGACTGATTTTATCCAGGTAGGGCTTTGGCTGGGGGAACCTCAATATGTACCATACAGTATATAACTATACAGTGGCTATACGGTACATAGCATTGAGAAAATACATTTATTATACATATATTTCTGTATGAAGTGTCAGATTTGCTTTTGGTATAAATAGGTACAAATTGTAAGTGTTATTTACATAAGAACATAAGAACTATACAAACGAGAGGAGGCCATTCGCCCCATCGAGCTCGCTTGGGGAGAACTTAACTAATAGCTCAGAGTTGTTAAAATCTTATCTAGCTCTGATTTAAAGGAACCCAAGGATTCA